TACATTCATTAGGCACTGTTTACATTCTGCTTTATAGCGACAAGGACAGCTAGGAATCTCATTTATGAAATGTACCCACAGAACTAGGGTTAACACTGGGTCTACAGGTGGAGTTGTCTCTCGATCACTGAAATGTGGAGTTTGGGATTCTGTGAGGTTTCATGTCTGGAACTCCCGTTCCATTATGGCTGTGCTTAGACTGTGCAGCTCAACAAACAACATCTGCCCACGCCCCGCAGAAACACAGGTATTTGTCTAGTGGATTCACCACCTGGCAGTTCAGTGGGCTGAGGAGGATGTCTAGGAACTGCCCTGGAGCTGTTTACCCGACTCACCTCTGGGCTGTGCACCTGAATTGAGAGCGGACGCCTAGGAAGCAGTGAGCCAGGTGAAGGAGTGGGGACGTGGGAGGAAGCGAAATGATTGTCCCTGGGTAATTCGGCATCTGGCAGCTTGGTAACTGGTCCTGATTCTGCTGAGCTGACGGTCTGACCCCAGGCTGTTCCCTTCGTTCCGCACTGCAGGTTCACTCACCTATCAAGTCAGGCAGGTAGACCAGATACCCCGAAGTAATAGTCTATATATACCTCTGCCAATGGCACTTTTTCAAGTACTCATGTGTCTTTAAAGGCGATAGATACACCCTTACTTGCAGAAAGTGTTTGTTGGATAATTGCTTCTCCGTTAGTTCAGAAATACCATCTTCACTGTGCTCATCTGTTAATGTGTTTCTCTCCATTTCTCTCTTGAAAAAGAAAGGTAATAGTACACAATGACAATGCTATTAATTTACAGAGATGATTGGTTAAAGCTTCAAGATATTTATTTTGAATATTTACCAATATGTTAAGCACTCTACCATGTAGCATCTTCCTTTCCCCTCAAATCGCTGAGAATTCATAAGGGTAAAGGCAAACTTTTCACTTGGGCATAGAGCTGCAAGTACTACGGCTTCATGAAAAAAACATTGTCTAAAATGTATAGGCAGCAGATCATGATACTGTGAAATAATGATTACAAATAGCTAACATTTATTGAGTATTTAGTTTATATTAGCCACTATTCTGGGAGAAAACTGTATTAAAACAGTGGTTAAGGATTGTGGGAAATACTACAGAGTTCTTGTAATTGAATGGGGTTATGGGGGTAAGTTTATAATTTTATAAACAGGGATAGAAGGAATTATGGCTAAGAAAACCCAGCAAATAATAAAGAAGCTACTAAAATTAGAAGATGAATTCACTGCGGAGGAGTAATTATTTGATTTGTAACTTTTTGTTTAATTAACACTTACTAAGTGCCTTCTGGGTAGCAGGCACTATTAGGTAGTTTTGCATCTGCTATTTTATTTAATTACAACGAGTCTTTCACTTCCAAATAGATTTCCCATGGGCTTCCTTTGACTAATGAGTTATCCATCCTGGCCCAATGCTCCCCAGTCCCGTTTGCTGCTACAATTACCTGGGGAGCCTTGGAAACTCTGGTGCTAGGGTTCGGTCCTCAGAGAGTCTGTTTAATTGTGCAAGGTCGGGACCCAGCAGCAGTACCTTTAAAACTCGCCCTCCCTCTTCTGGGAACTGCGGAGCTAGAAACACTCAGACCATGAGAGAGGCTATTTCACGTACAGAAGCATGTTGACCCAAGCTCTAGGGTCTTAAGCAGCTGTTGCAGCCTGGCCAGTGTGGCTCAGTGGTTGAGCGTCTACCTATGAACCAGGAGATCACGGTTCGGTTCCCGTCAGGGCACATGGTTGTGCAGGAGGCAGGCAATCAACCATTCTCTCTCATCATTGATGTTTCTATCTCCCTCTCACTCTCCTTCCTCTCTGAAATCAATAAAAATATATTTAAAAAAACAAAAGCAACTGTTGCAGACTTCAGGAGGGAGTTTGCTGGGTTGGGTGGAATAAGTAAAACCCCTGCTTTCCTTGTCTGTGTCCTGTGAACAGGGATGTGGGAAGTGTAGAATTCTAGAACGAAGCGGGCTAGAAAATGGTCCTCTTCAGGTCTCAGGCCCCGCATTTCCAGATGCACTTACTTTGTCGCCTGGGTTTGCTGTGATATTTATCAGAAACATGTCAGTGACTTGCAATATAAGTGTGTGTTGTATTTTTCAAGAAAAGAGAACTGTATCTGCACTGGAAGTATTCCTTTTAATGGAATACACAGGCACAGGGTACAGATCTGTGCCTAAGAGGGTTTCATATTTAATAGGACACAGGGAGCAATGAAGAATTCTTTGGGTGCAGGGGTTACAGATTGAAATGGCTTCTTTAAAAATCGTCTTTGATGTCGTAGTAAAGTTGTTTCAGATCAAACCATTAAAACAAACCATGAAGGAAGCAAATGGTTTGGGGAGCTCAACTTTCCTTTGAAAAATCGTTAGAGCCTTAGATCCCATAGTAGAGAATTAACCTAAAAAAGGATCCATCATCAAAAACATATTCAGTCCCTAAAAAAACTTCCCGGGCATCTTCCTACACAGATTTGCGTCCCTGGGAACTTTGGGTCCTGCCTGGTGGTCAGCTAGAGGACAGCTGCCTTAGACCTGCCAGCACGAGGCACTTCCCCCTAAAATAAACGATGCTTCTGTAAGGGTGATGGGGTAGCCTTCCACTGAAGAACGTGACTTCTTCAAAACATTATATCGCATTTGCTGAGAGACCTTAGGCAAGTCCTGTCATCCTTTTGGACTTGGGGTTCTTCATTGGTGTAATGAGGGGGTTGTCTGTTTTCAGGGACACAAAGCCCCGGTGTCACCTGGAGAGCGGTGGGGAGAAGTGTTGAGTTGGCACGTCTCTGTGGGCCTTTGCAGGTTCCCTTGGACTCCTCCTGCCTGGCGGGGCAGATTTCTAACTTGTCTTTTAGAGCTTAGCTGAGATATCACCTCCCTAGAGAAGAAACTGAAGACCCTTTCCTGTGACCGCCCAATACGTGTACTCCCCCCCCCCCGTTGTATCACTTTTTCATTCTCCATTGTAATTGCTCGTCTGCCTGTAATTGCCCCACTAATGGGTGAGAGCTCCGGGTGGCTGGGATGGTTTCCTTCCTGGAATTCTCTCCATGGCCACGCGCTTGGTGCATCACAGGTGCTCCTTGGCACAGGTGCAACTTGACTGTGAACTGGTCTCAGTCATTCTACCCCTGAATCACTTTCTGCGCTGAGGGTCCTTCTTGAATGAGTGAGTATCTTCATTTGGCTGCAGGGGCGCAGAGAGGAGAACCCGCCAAGGTCACAGAGCTCTGAGAGACCGAGCAGGGGCTGCAGCCCCTGGTGGGAGTCTAAAGAGGAGACAAGATCGGCTCCAGCCTCCGGAGCCATAGTCCAGGTCTCTCTGCCCATGTGGCAGAAGTGAATGGAAGTCACCCTTGGTGGAGACGACCACTTCTCTTCTAGGGCCGTGGTCGGCAAACTGCGGCTCGCGAGCCACATGCGGCTCTTTGGCCCCTTGAGTGTGGCTCTTCCTAAGCCTTAGGAGTACCCTAATTAAGTTAATAGCAATGTACCTACCTATATGGTTTCAGTTTAAAAAATTTGGCTCTCAAAAGAAATTTCAATCGTTGTACTGTTGATACTTGGCTCTGTTGACTAATGAGTTTGCCGATCACTGTTCTAGGGGAGCTACCCTCTGTCCCCTGGGGCTACCTCTAAGCGATGCCATGACCAGCTTCCTCTTCGTGCTCTTAAAAGAGTTTTGTGAGCGTGAACTGGTGCACTTAATCTTATTTCTAGAACTTTGGCCCCAGATCCTAAAATTCTTCCTAAGGGAACAACTTCTCCCCATTTTCAATTTTGTAAATGTGGTCAAAGAATCAGAAAGAAAGGAAGAAAAAAAATCCCTCAGAGCAGGAGGAGTCAGGAGAACCGTAACCATGTTTCTGGGCATCGGTGTGTGCGTGTGTGCGCGTGTGTGCATGGTGTGCACACACCCATGGGGGGGGCGGGAGTATTGCACGCATTGGCTTTGATGATTGTTAAATGGGATCCCCACTTTCTCTGGCCACTGAGCAGCTCTGTGATTATTATTTAAAAGGGAATTTTAAACCACAGAAAAGAAAACCGGAAAATAACGTGTTGGGGCAGAAGCAGCAGAAGCGGCTGCGATGATCCGCCGTGGCATTCTGCCATGACACACAGGCAGGCAGGGCCTGAGGTCTTTTGTGAATAAAATGGGGCAGGTTCAGTGGCTTCTGGCAGTTTCGACACCTCATGAAAAGCCAAGAGAGCGCACCAGGCAGCTGAAGAGTGCATCCCAGGGAAGGCCACCGAGGTGTCCGCTTTCTCTCCGCTGCAGCAGGGAGGGTCTCTAGACACCGCCGGCCTTGCCCCTATCTTCACACTAATGCCGGCGCGTGGGTTCGAATGGGGTGTTCCCTGTGGTTTCCATGAAAGCACCCTTTGATTCATCAGTTTCTCATCAAAATCTCCCTGGAAGATGGGGGAGTGACAAGGTGGTGTGATGTGCGGGTTTGTTTTCCTTCCTCTGCCCTGCAGAAGCCCGAACAGGAAGTGATTCAGGGGTAGAATGACTGACACCAGTTCACAGCCAAGTGGAGCTGAGCATGTTGCTGGGACCAAAGGCTGCGGGAGCCCGGAGTCCCAGCATCCTTTAGCTTAGACTCCCGGCCCCTCCCTCTGTCCCTGGGGTAAAGCTGTCCAGCCAGACTGTCCCTCAGTCATAGGAGTTTGGTTTGGGCGTTTGCTCTTCACTTGCTGTGCAACCTTCAGCCAGTTACTCAACTTCTCTGAATCTCCAGTGATGTATTTGTAATACCTAAGACTGTTGTGCACATTAAATGAAAAAAAAAATGTTTGGGAAACATGCTCTGTGAACTCTGTGGTCTGAAGTGTTGGAATTCGGAGTTGGTATTTCTCATTTCCCGGCTGTGGCTTTGGTATTGGGAAAAATAATGGTGGCTAGAGGATATACTGGGGCTTAGAGTCTGCTGAGGTCTGTTGTGACTTCCTTAATTAATCCTTGCTTTGCCTTTGTTTTGCAGGAGAAGAAACTGAAGCGTGGAGTTTGAGTAATTGGTTCAAGGTTACCAAGTTGGTAAGTAACGGAGCCTTCGCTGACCATGGCCGTTGGGCTGCGACCGGTGCCCTTGACCCCTTCACTATGACAAAGAATGAAAGTGGATGGTAATTTTAGCCAGGACGTAGATTTCAGTTCTGTAGAAACGAGAGCTGTCTCTGTTGAAATCTGAATCCGCGTGCGTTCTTTCATCCACTCCGTGAATATTTATCGAGATCCTACAAGGTTATCAGGTCAGATGATTAATTTCCATAAGAACTGTACCTCTGGAGGGAAGAAGACACGCCCAGCCTCCTGTCATCACTCATCCTCGTAGCTAACATTTATTGGATACTGTTGAAAGCACACCCCGTGCTAAGAGCTTTGTCTGAATTATCTTGTTTAAATTCACAGCAGCCCTAGAAAGTTGAAATAAGAGAAGGAATTTGCCCAAGTTCATTCTACCAGCCAGTGGTTGTCTTAGTCCATTTGGGCCGCTGTTGCAGAATACCACAGACTGGGACCCTGTAAACAACAGAGTGTAATTCTCACAGTTCTGGAGGCAGACGAGTCCAGGAATCCGGGTGCTGGCAGATTGGGGGTCTGGCGAAGGCTCTCTTCCTGGTTCATAGATGGCCATCTTTTTATTATAACCTCACAGGGCAGAGGGGCCTGGGGGGCTCCCTCTGGGGTCTCTTTTTTAAAAATATATCTTTTTTATTGATTTCAGAGAGAAAGGGAGAGGGGAGAAAGAGATAGAAACATCAACGATGAGAGAGAATCATTGATCAGCTGCCTCCTGCACGACCCAGGGGGATTGAACCTGCAACCCAGTCATGTGCCCCTGACCGGAATCGAACTCAGGACCCTTCAGTCTGCAGGCTGACACTCTCTCCACTGAACCACACCAGCTAGGGCTCTGGGGTCTCTTTTATAAGGACACTAATCCCATTCATAATGGCTCCACCCTTATGACCTAACACCCCCCCCCCAAAGTTCCCACCTGCAGAAGCCATCCATTGGGGGTTAGCTTTCCCCACATGCATTTTGTGGGAGCACAAACAGTCTATTGCAGGCATATAGCCAGTCTTTGCCTCCAAGTGGTCTGGCCAGAGGACCAGTGATCTTAACTACTGGAAACAAGTCACTCTTTTTTTTTTTTTTCCTTTTAAATTGACTTCAGAGAGAGGGAGAGAGTTGGAAACATCAATGATGAGAGAGAATCAAACTGGGAGTCGAACTGTGACCTCCTAGTTCATAGGTTGACGCTCAACCACTGAGCCACACCGGCTGGGCAACC